AATGTCTGGCTTCTCAGAGAGGGCGGCGGCAGCGGCAGCGCTTGACGTCGGCAATTCCCTGCAAAACCCGCGCTCTCCTTCAAAAAGAGAATATTTCATCGTGAACGCAACAGCGCTCTCGTTGGCTCCAGCACACGCCGTGGCACACCGCCAAACCTGGTACTGCTCTTCGGCGTCCCTGCACAAGTGCAAACAGTCCACGTTTCGTTCCCCCATCTCAGAACTCCTGCACGGCGTCCAGGCAGCCTCGCCGGGAAAGCGCCAACTTAACTTATTGCCGGTGTTCGAACATGACACTTCCACCGTCGCCTCAGTCGCAGTCGCCGCCGTGTCGCCGACGGAGGCGCAGCAGCATAAGCCGCAGAGCAGCGCGAGGAGCGCCAGGGCGCACCCCGCACGGCGCCGCAGCGTCGGCAGCGTCGGCATCAGTAAAAATAGTGGCAGTAGAGTCGCAGTGGGCTGCGGGGCTGCGGGAAGGAAGCAATAAACAAGAGAATGAGGTGGAGGAAGCGAAGGGTGCGGCGGAGAGAGCGAGCGCAGAGAGGAGGAAGAAAAAGGCGGCAGCGGCCCAATGCGTCCACGCGGCAGAACGCGCACACGCAACAAAGACACGCGGCGCCGGCAGTCACCCACGACGGAGCAGAGAAGAGCAGCGGAGCGCAGCCGCAGAAACTGGCTGCACAAAACTCGCGGCCGGCAAAAGACACCCAGCGCGAACACGCGCCCCGCCGGCCACAAACACACGCACTGGAATTGGACCCACAGCGACACAAATGAGGCGGCACACGCAAGGAAAGAGAGCGAGCCACAGTCCACTCTCCTTCTCGGCGTGTCCCTTACTTTCCCCTCACGGCCACGGAAGGAGGCAGCAGCAGCCGCCGCCATCACACGGCAGACGAGCAGCAGTTGGGGCGCCGCATTTCCCCCGTCATGCGAGGGCAAAGAAACACGGCGAAGACGCCAGCCGCACAGCCGCAGCGGGAGAGGGACGAGGCGGGCCCAAAACCCGCCGCACAGTCAGCCGCTGCTTCGCCCTCGCCGATCGGCACCGCACCGCACCGCAGGCTTCAAAGAAGCAGCGCCCCGCACACTCGCAGTGAGACACACGCCCCACGCAAGCACCGTCTCTTCTCTCCCGCCGCAGCGGGCGCAAAAGGCGGCGGCCGCACACCCCGTTACTCCCGCGCCGCCGCAGCGGAGAGCAAAAGAAGAGCTGTCTTCGTCGTCGTCGTTGGCTGCCGGTGCCTCTAGCGGGAAGGAGGAGGAGGAAAGGGAATGGCGGCGTGACAGCAACACAAGCAGCAGCGGTGGGGGAAAACAGAACACGGAGACACGCAGTGACAGCGGCGGACACGCCGCACAAACTAAAAGTGGGCCGCAGTGCGTTACCCCAAAAACAAAAAAACCTGTCCAAAAACAAAGAGGTTAAAGTCCAGCAGAACTCAGGGGGGAACACAACAAAA